CTTTTCTGGCGCAATAGGCAGCATTTGCTACCTAATCCACACGTTGCTCCTTTGTACCTGACTTCTTGAAGTTAGGTGTAATTACCTAGTCTATGATTCAAGAAGCAATTTCAAAAAAGAACTGTCCATCAAGACAAGAAAAAGTAGAATGAGATTCTATTGTCTATAGCTGAACTCAAAGCTAATGTTACTGCCAAATTGAAGTTTCGATGAATTAGCTGTTTTAAAATACTACCTGCATCTCTTCATTCAATTCCATTTGATCATACAGCGGGATAGGGGTGGGGGGAGTTCAGAGGGTCAGAGAATGAGTTAATAAATGATTAATGGGAAAATATCCTCGGAAGGCTTCTTTTCTCTTCCCTACTTCCCCCTCCTCCTCCCTCTAAGTTCCTAGCCAACTAATGTTCACTGTACGTAGAGCGTAATGCTCACAGAGGTTTCTGTTTAAAAAATGAAACGGGGGCCTGTGGGATAAACGGCATGAGTCATCCTCCTCCCAGGTCTCCGCTCCAGGCGCTTCAGTACTGTCTCACTTCAGTACTGTGTCGTGGGCTGAAACGCTCAGGGAACTCCCAGGGGGAATCAACTTCCCAGCTCCGCGGTGTCCAGTCGATGTCCTCCTTGGACCCAAGCTGTAAATCAGCCCACAGAGAGAAGGAAAAAGTCACAGGAGTTGCTGCCAAGACAGCAAACAGTTTTTCAGTGTTACCGATTTCATGTAAAGCTTCAACGTATTAAATTTATACCAAATCCTTCTTACGCTTAGAGCGAGTTCATTTCCAGAAAAGTTTAATCATGATATCATTAATAGGACTTAATCGGTTCAGTGAGTCATTTTGCTTCCAGGTAAATTATACTGATTACTAATATGTACAAGTCCCAGGTGGACATAAAGAAAACCCTAGGCACAAAAAATGAGATAATAATTAACCCTAAGCAGTCTTCAATTTTAAATAACTGATCTAAGAAGAAAATAATAAGATATCTTCATTCCCCTTGGCAGAAACAACTCTCACGCCCCAGGAAATTGCTGAATAATACAGATTTCATTAATAAAGGACACGAACGCCTCTTCCTTCGAATTATTTTCCTTGTAAATAAACCATATTGGATGGTTCTAAGGAACATCTACTCCCTTTTATTTTTCATTAATCTATAAGGGTTTAAATCTGGCAAAATAATCAAAATGTCATTCAATTAACTATTTTTTCATGTGTTGCTACTTTAGAGGCATTTCTAAATATCTCCAGCTATAACTGCATTTCCAACCACCTGAAAAAATTGTATGGCTTTTTTTTTTAACAAACTTCCTTTGCAATTAACTGAGCTAAGATCAAAATAATTAATTCAACCCTAACATTAGTTTTCACATCTCGTTAAATTTTAATAATTATTTTAAGATTCTTTTTGAGATACTTGATTTTTATGAGCAGGAAATCATATGACTACATTAGATGACATCAGCTAATCCTCCAAAGCAACTGTTCCTCTCCAATTTGGAAAGAAATCAACACCTCAGGCCTCCTCGCGTAGATAATACACAACACACTGTAACCCGCAGTAATTAAAGCCTGTTAGCATGTCTCTGATTTCCACCATCTCCTCTTACTGCTGTTAAAGATTTAAAAAGGAAGAAGAAATGAAGGAAGGAAGGAAGGAAGGAAGGAAGGAAGGAAGGAAGGAAGGAAGGAAGGAAG